ACTAACGACCATATAACCGCCAGTGGTAATTCTTTTTACATGTTTGACAAACTTATGCCTTTTATTACGGTGATTGACACTGGTTATAATCCTGGATGTTTGGGTTGACGTCATAGCGAATGTAGTTAAGCTGTATCACTTCTATCAGATTTTTCTTTATGGAGAATGTCATAGCTTTTAGTACTAAAAATGCCTGACTTCATAGTAGAAGCGATGACTGGTAGTAATTCCATTATGGATAAAATTTATTTTGATAATGTCTCACAGTGTTATACAGTAATATTTTCTGATGACGTTTCGAGCAGAATTTATTGCTCATAATCATATCTAGGTGCTCACACAACTCTCTTGCTTCGTTTATATACATGTGCAAAGACTGATTAGATATATTAATAAAGTCAATTAGAGACATGTGTTAACTTAGTTTCACAACTTCAATACCCATCTTCATTTGTCCTTTTAAGTTCCATGGTGATCGTATCTTGTATTAGCAATGCAAACGGATAATTTAGAGATATCGGTAGTCTAGCGATAGGTGACAATCACAAACCCTTCTGTCTCAGATGGCCAGGCTGTATATTTAGACAGTAAACTGTTGCATATTATATTCGACTGTCAATATAATATGATTTGGTATATTAATTAGAAGCCAGTAATTGTGGATTTTATGAAAGCTTAGTAAGTCCTTTGTATTCGTTTCTAAATTTTGTCGAACGTCAACTTACAGAGATCAAAGTAAATTCTTATGTAACTGGACTTGCTAAGCACTTCGATTTCGTCAGATGTGGGTTTGATGTAAACATTTTGCATACTTCTCATGAGAACCTAAAATTACTATTTAATTCTCGAGAACTGCATGTAATCTGCGTACATTAACGGAATTTCGTTGTCCTTAAAGTCTATACTGGGTTAGAAATTCTTCAATATTGCGACCTCTGTGAAGTAAATGTGGGAACAAGTGTAGCAAAATACCTCACTATCTAGCTTCTCATGAGCTCTAAAACAAGGCAGACTTTCAATAAAGTCATGATGTTACCATCACCCTTCAGTCTCAGTGCATCGGGTCATGAAACACTCGTTGGCATTAAAAGAAATTAACAGTAGGATATGAAAACTC